GTGTGTGTGTGTGTGTGTGTGTGTGTGAGAGAGAGAGAGAGAGAGAGAGAGAGAGAGAGAGAGAGAGAGAGAGAGAGAGAGAGAGAGAGTTCAGCGGAAAGCATACAGCGGCCACACTGTAAACCAAGCTGGAAGATCACACCAAAGTACAATCGAATACCAGCTCTTCAAAGGAGAATGAGGTAAAATCTTCAATGAGCACATTACGCGATACTACGACGTGTTTCGCCGTGGGCGCAAAAACCACGGCTCATCAGGGAGCTTCTTCCCGAGATTCCAACGACAACAAATGTTGCGTGGATGGAGAGGGTTTAGGCCATCCCTCTCTCGAGCTTAAATAGTCACACAGATCAACCCATAGGCCATGCCACTACTTCGAAATCCCAGTATACTGCCTTACAACTCCCGCTATCACGATCCTTATCCAGATTCATTCACGGCCTTTATCTCCATTCAGCACCTAAGTTCAAAAACCGACCAAAAACATCCAATAACACAGAGAACTGATTACCTACCCCATGTCGGAAAAATGGATATTCGCCGTCCGTGCTAAAACGACTAAAAATTATCAAAACGAACTCCTGTCTCGGGCTTTAAAGCTAGTCACCCGTCTCTGCAAGCCAACCCAGAGACCGAAGGATATGGTTTCGCAAAAATGGCAACTCCAAACCCGGATTTGCCATAAATGGTTACATAACGATATCGTTCCCTTGCCTCACCGTATTTTCCCAAGTATGAGGAGAGTTCGTTCAAAAATCCGAGTCTGTCGTCCTACGTGCTACTGCGTCTGTTACAAAAATTGGTCAGATGCACCTGTGTCCGAATTTGTCCAAACACAACACTATTGTACAGAAAAACAAACAAAAAAACAAAAAAACTACGGTAAGCGAAAAAACCCTCAGTCCCTGAAACGCCGTCCGCCCTACATACTACTGTATCAGGTACCAAATTTGGACATATATACTCGTGCCTGAACTTGTCCACACATATCACTATTATACAGAAATACAGCAAGCCAAAATTCATAGTTTCAAATCTTCAGTCCTTGAGATGCTGTCCGCCACTGGACCCACTACGTAAGAAATCTCTCGAGGTCGGGGTAAACAGTGAGGAGCAAAGCTCCCCAGTTACCCCCGGCCACTCTAGCGAACCGAGCTAGAGAACCGAGAGAGACCTCCGGGGGGTATTCCCCGAGGTTTGATTCTACGACCATGGCAACCACTGCGGCAAGTGCATCTTCTTCCGTGTACGCCAGCCTACTCAGTCTAAGAAAGTTGGCCGCCAAAACTGCTCTCTTCATCTTCTTGTGAGAGAAGGAGTTAAAATCCTGCAGAGAATGAACCCGTATCCTTTCATCTTGACTTGAGAATTTCTGGTTTCTAGTCTTTGGTACGATTTTAATTTCAATCGGACAAATGCTCACATAAATAACCACCCCCAGAAATTCGAATGAATTCGTATTGTTGTCCTTCCTGACCAATTTCAGCTCGCTGTCATATGCCTTCTCGAATTTTGAAAGGATTTTGACCGCTTTCTCCCAGGATTGAATATCTGAGGAATGCACGCCAACGAGCACCGACACATCATCGATCATTCGCACCCCCCGGACCAGATGTTTATCATTCCCAATCGAGTCCAGGAACAAAGCCTCCGCCCTTGCACATACCAAACAAGCAAGGGCCGGACTTGAATTCCTACCCATGGGAATTCCGAACACTTGTCTCAGGATAACCGAGCCACACTTCACAAAAACATGTGAGAGGTCGTACATCAGCAATTTCTTGATCAGCTTAAAATCTAGCGACACATACCCTTCCTCAAGGGCTAGCGTTCTGGACAACTTACAGTCTTTCCCTCTCCTATTGACTTTGACAGACTTCGTACCTCTGCCCTCGTGGATTCTCACAACCCAGTCAACTGCTTCACTAACTCTCGCGTGCGACAATTTTGCAAACATATCTTTGATGTCATAGCTGCGAGCAAGTGCAGCATCATTCTTCTTTCCTAACTTCTTCTGACATCTGAGGAGTACAACTCTCAACTCATCAGTAGAGGCTAAATCAAAATGGGTACTTTCCTTTAGGCACAGTAGCATGTACCTCACTGCCTTACCCAGTCTAGCGCTTGCGAGACGTGCGGGATCGGTAGTGGCAGGGGCAATCGGTCTCCACCGATCCAGATCCTTTTCTTTTGGTAAGACATACGCATGACTAATACTCCCATTCTTTCCCCATTCGGCGACTTGCATCAGACCACAGTCTACATACTCCTTCCTACTTGTACTGAGAACCTCGGCACTACCCAAATCTTCGACCACGTACCCTGTATTCCATCGAAAAGTGACATTCATCGCATGTGAGTACAACACTGGGCACAACAGGACCGTGGCACCGGGAGTCCGATCCACCGGGACCAACACCAGGTCTCTGTACGTACTGATCCAGTGCCTTACCCGATCTTCGGACATGGCGGTACATGCAACTGGTCTCGATACCCAACATGCGTGTAAATCATCCTTTTGCAGCTGGATATTCCTGCCCTTCGCCCACGGTTTAACTGCGTCGGTGATACCTTTTTCCACCTCCTTAATCCGATCTCGGCCCATACACACATTTCGTGAGTTGTGAATAAACCTGGGTGCTTGCTCCATTTCATCGACCCTTACTCGTACGTGTCCCTGACTCCGGGGAAGAACGTACTCGGCACATGAGCACACCACCAGATCCTTCTTAGCCCAGACCCTGTGATCATGTATGATTTCACCCACCGTCTTTTTCTTCAACGTTACAATCCTGACCCTTGCAGACACATATGCTCGGATGGATAGATCAGGAATGGCTTGTTCGATGTACTTGACGGTCACTTCTCTTACCATTGCCATCTTTAGAGCTGGAGAGAAAGGAATCCGCACCAGCGGTCTCTTTCTAATGTCTTCGGCATACTTCACCCGCATCACCTTGGCAATCTTCATTTTCAACTTGGTCCTTGATTTCTTCCTGGAAAACAAAGTCGCCGACCGGTACAGGGCAATCAGCTTTGCCGAGGACATCTTATAAGCTTGCTTGATTCGGTAAGGGTGCGCCATAACCTCCTTGAGATAGTTACACCGGTGTTCGATCGCAGAAGAGGTAACCCAGACTTTTCTTATCACGAAAGGGCCTCCTTTCTCCAAGGACGATCGGCATCGCTTCAGTGGTCTCCTCCGCCCATCGATCTCGATTACCGTTGCGCCTACCTTCGATTTCACCGCCCTCCAGCTATCACTCCACATACTACCACCCGCGGAACACACTTTATGAGGTCCCTTGAGTCCTTTCAGGCTTCGAATAACGCCAATCAAAAACACAGTTTTCTGGTCTCCCAGTGTGAAAACGATCACCGTGCCTTGGTCTACTGAGCGGATGCTCTTCCCTCTCTCCCTCCTCCCTTTCCTTCGAGCCTTCTCCGCGCCTCCTTGCTTCTTCCCGATGCTATTCAATGCTGGTGAAAATCGCGAGATCAACATCCTTTCAACCTCAACAGGATTATCCAGTCCGACGCAAACAGGTAAGATAACATACTTTTCCCAGCCAAACCTTCGGAGCCAAGCATGTAATTTACGTGCATTACCGAAGCTTCCGGACATGACACATCTCACGTGTTCGGCCCACCTGGTAATCACCTTTCTCGCCGTGCACCCGATGTACATATGCTTACACCAGGGACTGACAATAATGTATACCCCAGCTTCCCTTGTGTCTATTGTAGCAATCGCTTCCTCATTCAGAACCCCCAACCACTTCTTCATCCACGGAAAATGTCCACTAACAGCAAACAGCAAAAACCTCCTAGTAGCTAGGTTCTCCAACTCCGCGTGGACCAGCCTCCCTCCCTGCCCTACTTTACCCAATCGCGCTGACATACATTCCCTCAGCTCTTCCATACTGACTACATCACTTATCACCAATTGGAGAATGGTCCAACAGCTTTTCACCAAGCCCTTGGTAAGCAAGACGAGTTCTGCAACGCACTATTTCACAGATCACGCTCTCCCGCTTAAACCACGGAATACCTTCCTTGCTGCATATTTTTCGTAACTCAGGGACCCTTTTCGCCGATAGCCTCCGATGAACTTCCAAAGCATAATCGATCATTCCCTCATTGGAGCATGCAGCTGAAAGCCCTTTCAGAGGTGTTTTGAAATCCTCATCGTGTACCTCCTCCTCGGTCGTAACTGGCGCTATGCCAACCTTCTTCGAGATCGGAGCCTCCAGACCCTTCCCTTTGGGGTTACGTACTTCGTTGGCCCGATCTGTGGACTGCTCAAAACCCACTTCGGAGAACTTCCTCTTCTTTCCCGTCCTCTTCCTACTTTCGATAGCATCCACCAGCCTCCCCGCTTCCTCCCTTACTTCTTCTCTGTCCTCTTCTGATTCATCTATGTAACTCCGAATCTCGCGGAACATCTTCAGCTTCGTACGAGGTGACTTCTTCTTTACTGGCGGAGACCCTGCAGTGATAGCAAACTGGCTCTTGTTCTGCTGTGAGAGCAACCTGACTATGGTAGCTTCAAGTCTTGCTTCCCTTGCCTCCGCTTCCTTGATTTTCTCAAACTCCCTCCTCTACTCTTCCTCCGTCCTCCTTCGTTCCCTGTCTACCTTCGCTTTTTTCTTTGATTCTTCCTTCTCACGTTGAACAGCTCGTATGTAGAATTTACGCATATCATTACTTTCTGGGTCTTGCTGCGCCGGAGCTCGATTCCCCGCCTGCCAACAAATTTCGTGCATAATGGCCAGTTTTTCCACAATTATGACAGACAACCGTACCAGGATATACCACACCACCATCCCCTCCGACTCCTACGGCACTCTGTGCCTGTTGATAACTGAACGACACTTGCTGCCCATTTGAAAACAACCCTCCTTGGTTAATCATTGTTTTGCTGTCTCCTCAGGGTTTTTTCGCGACGATTCCTAAAGTCCCTCAAAACACAGCCTACACTATAAACTCTCCCGAGTACCCGATCAAGCTGGGAGAACACTTCCTTCTTCGTATCCTCCGTGCCTTCATGTAGTGCTATGTGTATGATCGGAATAAGATCGCTCAACTCTCTTTCAAAATCCGCCCAGAGTCTTTCTAACTCAAACTCCCTCACGTTCCGACAATTCATGCCTCCCTTATCTCGCCCCGATACTACTCTTGAACTAACGCACTGTGCACTCACCCCAACCAGCGCTTACCTATCCGAATTCGAAAAAACTCCACCCCCGCTACTTCTCCTTAACTCCAGCCTTTCAAACACTGTTAAATGCGACCTTCACCTCAATCACGCCCTTACTTGACACAAACACCAGCATAATCGTACCTACCTCAATAACCACCACTAACCCACAACCACTAATAACCACTAATAAGCATTACTACGTAGCCACCAAAACTTCGACATGCCAAAGCAGGTTACTACGGTCTCCGAGTTCAGCGCAAAGCATACAGCGGTCACACTGTAAACCAAGCTGGAAGATCACACCAAAGTACAATCGAATACCAGCTCTTCAAAGGAGAATGAGGTAAAATCTTCAATGAGCACATTACGCGATACTACGACGTGTTTCGCCGTGGGCGCAAAAACCACGGCTCATCAGGGAGCTTCTTCCTGAGATTCCAACGACAACAAATGTTGCGTGGATGGAGAGGGTTTAGGCCATCCCTCTCTCGAGCTTAAATAGTCACACAGATCAACCCATAGACCATGCCACTACTTCGAAATCCCAGTATACTGCCTTACAACTCCCGCTATCACGATCCTTATCCAGATTCATTCACGGCCTTTATCTCCATTCAGCACCTAAGTTCAAAAACCGACCAAAAACATCCAATAACACAGAGAACTGATTACCTACCCCATGTCGGAAAAATGGATATTCGCCGTCCGTGCTAAAACGACTAAAAATTATCAAAACGAACTCCTGTCTCGGGCTTTAAAGCTAGTCACCCGTCTCTGCAAGCCAACCCAGAGACCGAAGGATATGGTTTCGCAAAAATGGCAACTCCAAACCCGGATTTGCCATAAATGGTTACATAACGATATCGTTCCCTTGCCTCACCGTATTTTCCCAAGTATGAGGAGAGTTCGTTCAAAAATCCGAGTCTGTCGTCCTACGTGCTACTGCGTCTGTTACAAAAATTGGTCAGATGCACCTGTGTCCGAATTTGTCCAAACACAACACTATTGTACAGAAAAACAAACAAAAAAACAAAAAAACTACGGTAAGCGAAAAAACCCTCAGTCCCTGAAACGCCGTCCGCCCTACATACTACTGTATCAGGTACCAAATTTGGACATATATACTCGTGCCTGAACTTGTCCACACATATCACTATTATACAGAAATACAGCAAGCCAAAATTCATAGTTTCAAATCTTCAGTCATTGAGACGCTGTCCGCCACTGGGCCCACTACGTAAGAAATCTCTCCAGGCCGGGGTAAACAGTGAGGAGCAAAGCTCCCCAGTTACCCCCGGCCACTCTAGCGAACCGAGCTAGAGAACAGAGAGAGAGAGAGAGAGAGAGAGAGAGAGGGAGAGAGAGAGAGAGAGAGAGATGCAGCATGCAGCATGCAGCATGCAGCATGTAAGTGGCGGGGAGCACAAGGGCAGGCGCTGACCTCCAAAAAAAAAAAAAAAAGTAATTTTATTGGAATACACAAGTTTTCTCTTTTTAAAATTCGAATAAACACCGCATTTTGGCTGTAGTGGTGAAACCACCAGTACCTTTCCCATGTACCAGCCACGGGCCCCTTGCCGCAGCTTTTGGAGGCCATATTTGTGTGTGTGTGTGTGTGTGTGTGTGATATATAT